GAACATTCAAAGACAGATTTCTTAAAAAAAATTTAAAAAAATTCAACGATCGATTGGATGAGCAACTGTGACTAAACATTAGCCTCCACAATGCTAAGATGCTAAGACACAATCATGTAATTCATCATTCATCAATCAAAAAAAAAAAAATCTGGCAGCATCTCCCTCTACTCCCACTCCCTCCCTCCCTTCATTCACCCCCCCCCCAACCTATCCCACGCTGCCAGAGCTGGTGGGAGGCTGACCACCAGCGCTGTTCCAACTCCTAAATCAGCGGGGGCGTGTTGAGACCTCCCCCGTAGAGCAGCTCTAAACTTGTGATGAGCTTCTCTCTGCCAAAGTGAAAAGAACTTCTGAATGAGGGTCCGGCAGTTCTCCTCAATCTGCAGCTGAGTTAGGACCCTTCAGCTTTCAAATCCTGGCTGACGTCTGCCTTTTTTCCTTCTTTTTTTTGTCTTCCTCCACCTGCTTGAAAACAGAACCCCAGCAGCAGAGAGTCTGGTGATGATGTATTTACCACAAAATCACAATTTTCAATCAGTTTTGCTGCTGAAAGGACAGTGTTGGACATTAAGTCCACCACCTCTGGTCAGGATTTATCTGCTGTTGTTGTTTTGTTTTTCCCTGTTGTCGTTCTCTTAAAAGCAGAGAACAAATTTCCCAATAATTGTCCCAATGGTTGAGAAACAACCAGCAGAGAAAGTTGACACAACGCTCCTCTGGGCCCATTCCAGGCAGAAACCTTACCAACAAAATTGCCCACATGTTCACATTGGGTTTAGACCCAAGGTTTTCCACCACGGCTGCCAGCGGCCGATTTATCTTGGCAACATTAGCATTTGACTTTAGGTACCAAAGAGTGTGTTTAGGGGTGTGTGTGTGTGTGAGAGAGAGAGAAGGAAGTTCTTTCTACTTCCTTTAAAATACCACAGAGACCTCACACACACTGCACCAGACCTGGACAATAGTCCGTCCTGCAGGACAGATGGAAAATACTTCAAACTGAGCCCAGATGGACAAAAGAAAAGACAAGTCTGTTTCCTGTGAGTCCGATATCCGCGCTAAGCTAACCGTCATACAACTGTGGCTTCGCACAAGTGACGTCGGTCCGTAATAAACAAATAAAAAAAAAATGCAAGTGAAATTTTATTGACTCTGATTCAATCTCCTCCTGCCCAGCAGGGGGTGCTATTAATGCCCTCGGAATTCCCTGGTTTCTGGGTGAGTGTGCAAAACCACCTCTCTTTTACCAACAACAGGTAATACAAAGTAAAGTCAAAAAAAGTTCTCAGACAAATTAAAACACACAAAAATAAAACTGTGAAAATAACAAACCCTGGTCTAAAGACTGAGATCGAGTTTTGGGATTAAAAAATATATATATATCTACAAATCTGCTGTTTGCTCTGATTTAAAATGTTTATTTTTTTAAGGGTTGAAAAAAAAACATATCTTTTTTTTTAGTTTGGATATTCTTAGACCTGTCCCAGAAGTTTAAGGTGTATTTAAATATGTCAGTGTGTCATTATTTGTTATTTACCGTGATGAGCTGACGCACACACAGCAGCTTCATGTTGGTTGTTCAAACCGATGGTTCCTCCGGCGACTTGACTTGAGTTGAGTCGTGTTTGTCACCGATAATCTGCAGTACTTTCTGGAACAATAGCAGCAGTCATCAGTTCCTGATGCAGTGTCATGGGAACAGAACTGGACTAACCGGACAAGTCAGCAGGCTGGAGCTGACCGCAGTTGGCAAATACCCTGCACACAAAAGGGTGAGTCACTGTGGAGCACACTTCCTTTACAATCCCTCCCTCCCCCCTCCTCGCCCATCTCTCCCTTCACCTGAGGTGTCTGCTCAGTCAGAACAATAACCCCTTCACCTGATCGGATTTCTTTTTTTTTTTTCCCTGCTGTAACTTCTGTC